ATCAGCCTATCCCCTGAAACCTATCTCCTTCTCCACTCCAAAAGCGTGAAAGATTATGCTAACCATAAAGGATACACAAGCACCAACAAGCACAATTACTTATCTTATATTTCACAGGACTTCTAGCAGTTGTTATCCTACCCAAAAGACAAATTGACCCCAGCCTACCCCTCTCTTGGGTGTCCAGTAACTTTTCTGTGACTCTTTAATTTCAAATCACTAAAGACTTAAAATTTAATATGAAAGTAGGTAGCTAGATGCAGTATACGTACACACTAATAGAGTTTAGTTCCATTAAGATTTTACTAACAATAAACATGGAATATAAAGTTGCTACTCTGCTGAATGTGGAGGAAATAATTTCCTCAGTAGGAAGTTTTCTAGTCAGAAGACATCACAGGAAAAAAAAAAAATCCTTTAGGCTCAGCTTCTTCCTCTCCTCCCAGACTTTCACCTCTGTTCGAATCCAGACATAATGCAACCGTGTCTGACATCACAGGTGAGATATTTTCCTCTTTATGGTAAATAAATGATCTCACAACCACAGGACTGTGATTTCATTGCGCAGCTGAACAAGCAAGTATCCAACACACGGAATGGAAGTTATTGTTCAAACATAAACAGCAGAAATAATTGCAAAAGTAAAGCAAATGAACAGCCAAGTAAATTAATTCATTTTTGAATCACTCTTCCTGTTTTCCAAGTCCAAATGATTCTCCTTCCCTATTTAGGAAGCCTGAAGGGATGAAAAAGTGTCCAAGATGGTGAAATTAAAAATTAGCTACCAAGCATGAAAACATGCAATGATTGCACTTCATAACATTTTTATTGCCTCAGTGTTGTATGAATCACTTCCCAGTTCCACAGTAAAAAAAATGAAACCAATAAAGTCTAAGCAATCAATGTTATGACTTCATCAATCTGAGACTAAAGGCATGCACAGAAAGACAAATCTTTTCACGAATACGGAGGAAACTACCACTTCATTCTAAAGAAGCACAAGTTTCTTCTTTATCTAAAAAGTGGCCATTTTCACCTCAGAACAAGGAATACTGAAATAATCCCAAGTACAGCTCCATGTGACACAACCTTGCTTTCCCTTGCAGAAACGGGCCAAATTTGGGTTTCTCAAGTCAGGAACGCAGCTAATGCACAGTGAGGCTACAGCTAATACAGAATGTTCCCAGCTCGGAACATTCTCACTCCTTTGAGGTTTTGCATCAAGATAGTAGTATTTTAACAACCACCTGCACTTAGCTTTATTTTTCAAAGTCTATAGATTTTAGAAGCGTGACGTTGAATTATTTTGACAATTTAACTAAATCCAAAAAAGTTCAATGTATTGCTACTCAAAACTTCCAAGAGGACAATAATCTATGCTTAAGACCACAAAGCAGCCTCATAGTAATCTATCAGACAACAGATCAAAGGTACAGTGACCTCCCGCAGGGAGACTGTACCTTCTTTTGACAGTCATGCTCAATAGCTAACCAAATGCAACCTTAAATTCCTCCACAGTGTGTTTTGACATGGCTAAATAAGCATTCTAGTCTGGCTGTATGAATAAAGAAAAAAAAAAATTAAGAAAATGTCCCATTTCTACAAAGTATCACTAAATCCAAACCTGTTCTGTAACAGCAGTACCTAACTATTATTATCTTTTTCTAAGAAATACTAGCTTTCTTTTTTTGAGTGGCTAAACACCTTAAATCAGGTATTAAAATCTCTGGGAGGATTCTTCCCTTTAATATAATAGCTCCTTTCCCTTCTAAAATCATTAATAAAAAATAAACCCCTTTTTGTTAACTCAGATCTTGCTTCCTCACAAGTGTGCCAGAGGCATTTTAGTATGGACCAGGTCAGGTCCATCACAAATTACAGCAGCAATGTGTGGCAACAAAGGATCAGATTATTCATATAACTGTTACTACCTTCTTCCTTCTTTGATAACAATAGAAACAAACAGTATAGATCAATCTCTCAGGACAAAAAGTCAGTTCCTATTAAATCAGTGGTTTTCTGATAGGTACAAATCCAGGCTTACAGCATGAAGTAACAGCACAGCACAAACCTTAGAATGATGAACGAGGGATATTACAGGGTACAATAAACCCTACTTATCTCCAAATTCTCTCCCCTTTCACATGATGTACAAGCATGAAGTTAAGCCAGAGCAGGAAAAAGTTAGTAGGTGCTATTTTTGCATAGTTTCCTATGGTAGATTCATGGCAGACACTATGAGCAAAGCAGGAAGGCACAATTACCAAAGAATTAATGCACCAACAAGAAGCACCAGCTACAAATGCACTGTAACGGAGTGAAATTAAATCTACAGTTAATTTATACATCAGTATTACAATGCAGAAAAGTTTGTCTTTTTCTCAGGTGATGCCGGAATACCCAATTGTAGCCTACTTCCCTCTTTGAAAAAGACACATTGTGAAAGAAGCACGGTCTCCATATGGGTTCATGGGGAGGAAAAGACAAGAGTAGTGACCAAATATAAGTCTAAAAATGTTATTCGTACACAGTTGTTACCCACTGCAGAGCCCTCCGCACATTGCCTTACAACTACAGTGTAAACTGGCTCATTAGTAGCAAAACCTTAATTCCAGAATCCAAAGATTTAGTGCAAATTCTAATACAATAGAAGTTTATTACTTTTAACATGTCCTGTTCCTTTACCATACCTCAGCACAGCTTCAGGGGATGCCCATATTTTAAATACCAGCTGTCCAGTCCAAAGGACTCAGTATTACCCCCCCACAACACTGCTTCAAAGTGAGTAAACCTTTTTGCGCCACCCAATGCTCCTGTTGGAACTCCCCTAAAAACTATCTTCTGGACCTGGTCTGATAGAAAATCCAGGAAGAAATGAATGAAGAGTTGTAAGATACCTTCCTCAAAGAGACGACATGTAAATTCTTCAGCTGTACACAGCATTAATGTCTGATGGGACAAGTCTGTCAAGAAGAAGCCTTAGAAAGATGATGTTGGTTTAGGGGAAAAACAGAATCTCTGACTTGGGCCCAGGCTGGAGTCCTAACTCTAATTAAATTCTAATCTGCTTCTCCCAGTTTTCATAAAATGCTGTCTTCAAATAGTTGTATTTTTTTAAGAAGCACAAGAGCTCTGATCTTCTCATTAAAGAATCGGTTATAAGGAAAACATATTAGTACTAAGGCCATAATAAACTGAAAAAATTATGAACATTTTTCCCCAAACTAGTGGATTGCCACTAGTGGATTATCACTTGCAAAAAAAATGTGCATTCACAAGTCTGCTTGAAAAGTGGGAACTTGCCGTTTAAGTGATTCTTCAATGATATCTCTATTTTGTCCTTTAATTAATAAAAGGATACATGCCCTGGCGTTATAAACATTAATTTTCTATTTAGAATCCCAAATTAGGAAGCATAAACATTTATGCACTTCATTAAGCACTACCTAAGAACACTTTGAGATTAACAGGATACAAGCTAGGCTGTTAAATGCAATTTCAGGGCACACATAAGCCACCATAAAAACACTCCTCCTCTTCCCACACGTCGCTATGAGTGCTCCTTGGGCCCATGCTATTTGCACCAGCCTTTCTGAAAGGAACCTTGGAAACCAGTGAGATCCAACTCATCCGCACAGCCACAAGTGCTAGTTTAAGGGAAGGCATGGGATTGGCACAAGCCAGTTGTGAAATTGCACTTTAGAAAGCATAAAACAAATAGCTGTGCCCTGGATTAAGACATCGGTTAAGCACACATGGTGGACAGGGTATACCAGTGCTACAGGGAGGACACAGTAAATCTTTCCAAACTACAGGAAGTAGAATTGCAGTGGTAGGAAAGAAAGTTGCTGACACTCCGGAGCTGACAGTGTGAAAGGTAGATCACCACATCCATGTGCCTAAAATAAACAGAAGGATAACTAAGATCACTAAAATAACACACCCTTGAAGCTGATCAGTCCAGGCCCTAAGCCACCTCTACACACCTTTCTCTCAAAATCCTTCACAAAACAAGTCTTCAGGTTGTTTTCTTTTACTTGCACACAATAAGGTATAATTCAAATTATTCCTTGTAACTTCGCATCGCAAGTCTAAGTACAATGTAGAAAATGGTTTTTATTTATAATTTAAATTTGTGCCAAAAGCATCCGAAGACAAATTGTGGACCTGGACAGACTGGTACTAAATTTTCTATTAAACATGAACTTGCCATAATATTGTGATCTTTAAACTGCTTGAAAATACAAATACACTAAGAAGATAGTGTTTCAAGAACAGTAATGTGAACATACTGAAGAGCTTTGTACCACAACCAGAAATCTGAAAAGTGCATTGGTGCCTGAAAAAGAATAGGTTTTAATTTGTTTATTTTTAAAAATAAATTATCATGGTTTTACAACTTCCAACAGTTCTTTGCTGTGGACTTCTGGTTTTTAGAGTATAATGGCAATGGTGATCTAGCTACAAGATAGTAAGTGAAAAAGAAGCATTCTTTCTGTGTTTTTGACCAAATATATTGTTAGAGATCAAAACAAAGATTTATAGAAACAAATTATTAAAATTTCAGTTCAGAAAAACACCTTGTAAAATACAATAAAACCCCTTTCAATAGCCAAGTGGATTTAGTACAATTCTTCCCTCTACGCAGATACTCACTGCAGACTAGATCCACTAACTCCAGTAAAACAAAATGTGGGCAAAATGGGTGTTGCCCATTGCAGAATCACAACCTATATACAAAACTGCAGGTAACATACTGTACCACACTGGAAAAAACTTGGAAAATTCATGGTTTCATTGCGAGTGGACTTACAATATATCTTACATTATTTAAAAACAGTTTACACCATAGAAAGGCTTTTAACAGATCCGTTCAAAAAATGAATCAGAAAAGGAAAGTAATGCTTCAAGTCAGCTTCTCCCATCAGCAAAACTGCCACACAAATAAGAAAAAAACAACACTTAAGTAAAACACTAAGACTTTATTAAAAATCCGAAATTTATTGCAAATTGTACTTTGCACTTTCCCTCCTTTCTTCATTTTTACATGATTTATTGATATCCATGATTTTTTCACAGATGTACTTGTTGACTTTGGAGAGTCTCTGTGCAATTTCAGTTTCATCCACAGTTTCTTGTGCTATTCTATCATACAAACATTCTGGGGAGAGAAAAAAAAAAAGAAGGAAAGAGCCATTAGGATATTTTTAGAAAAGAACATAGCCCTGTGTTGAGCCAAGGACTCAAGAGACAGCACTGAGTAAGCACTGTGTGTATTTGTTGCAAGACAACAGAAGCTTTCATTGATTCACTGGCTATCTTGGTAAAGTCAAGATTTTTCACCAGGCTTGAATCTTTGGCATGACCAACTTCAAGATACACTGTGACTACATTAACAGGCTTTCTATACAGAAACAAGGCTAAATCCAGCCTTGTACAGCATCAGTCCTGCCTGCCTAGCTCTTGTATTTGTCCATATCTCCACAGCATGTTTAGAACCTTTTCCCAGGTGTACAGTCTCACCAGAACTGTTGTTACCTACAGTTCCCTGTGAGTCACTCCTACCTTCACACCTTCAAGGCAGTAAGTAAATGATAATGGTTAGGAAGAAAAGCAGTAACCAGTAGAAGACATTAACTGATTTATTTTTAAAATAATTTCAGCATACACTAACATCTACAGCTTTATCAGATGCCCTGTCCCTGGGTATTATTTCACTTTTACTAGTAGATCTTTCAGGTCAAGAGTCATCTTGCTGCACTTTGTGAACTTAACTGGAATACTAAAAGGGAGCAACAGTAAAAGCAACGAGGACAATGGAAGTTGAGATGATTCTGCCTCACGGAGCGGGCAGCTGGGTGCCAGAATCCTGCAGAGCTTACTGAAATCAGCAGTAGTGCAACACACCCACCTCCACAGCAAGAGGCAGCTTTGGGTATTTTTGTTTTCATAAACAGAACGATGTATTTTTTTGTGTAGGCTTACCCAACTGGTTAAACTCTTCTGCTTTGCCTAGTAATCTATTCCAGTAGTCATTTATTGCTTCATAAACAGAAAGCCATCGAGATTATCACTTAATTAACTCGGCTTACAACATTCCTAATGCGTCCTATTAAAAAGTTATGAAAATGAAGTACTATGCATGCTTTGTAGTTCATTTTGAAAGCTCTCCGAAGTTTTACAAAATATTATTTTGAATCAGTAAGGTTTATAACAGTGCTTATGCATCATACTTTCTATAATTTCTTTACTATATACTACACAGTAGGGATTTTTAAGAAGCTGGAGATACTAGACACATTAAGAGCTAATGCTGTCATTCAAAAATCTAGTTTAGATAAGTCAGCCTGTGTCCACAGAATAAGATCATCTAAAACAACGTGAATTTTCTGTTGTAAGACATAGCGAATATAAAATAAATACAATTAATCAGCATGCAGCCTGGCAGCCAAAATGCTGATCCTCAGTGAGCTATGATTTGAACTGCAACACATAAGAAGAGGCACGTCACTGAGAACCTGAAGAAATCCAGTGTGTTTATAGGATATCAGCTTGTACTACAACAATCTCAGAAATACTCCCAGGCTGTGGGAGATAGACCTAATAAGGTGAGCTTCCAGTGAAAGACAGGCTATGTTATTAGTTTAGCCACAAGGTCAAGCAAAGAATCACTTGACAGAACTCATTCATCAGCTGTGATTTTTAAAAGTCAGTGGCCCCAACTGATCCATGATCATCACAGTTTTTCATCTTCCGTTTCTAAGAGGGGCTGCAGAAATAGCAGCTTAGTAGTCACATAAGGATGCTGCCTTAGGGGGCTCCAAAGAGTGATTTGGGGGTTCTGCTCCTTCTTTGTCTTTTGGCTTTAGAGGAGCATACAGACATCCCTTCATATTTCTGACTGGATCAAGGATTCAAGTAGACCTCAAAGACTAACAAGGAGCTTTATCTCCTTCTGTGATACTCGATGCAAACAATTTGCTATGTAAACTCTAAATCCCTCGCATTTCACCACTTGTCTACTTGCTACTTGTTTTGGTTTGTTTTCTTCTCCAGAACAACTTATTTAATCACTTCCAGCTTTCCAGGAAACACTGCTGGCATGATGGGGCAAGACCTGCTAACATTAACGCAAAGGACCAACAACGTGGAAAGTCACAGTTATGTGCTACCCAGTACCACCAATATAAGAAGCCTATCTGCTGCCACCTCAAACATTGGCCATGCAGTTTAACTGGTTCAAGAGGAGATTGTACAGTCTTGAGTGTAACAAAAAAGGGAGTCAAAGACAAAGTGAAACAAACACTGGAATGAGGAACACGGAAAATCAGGGTGTGGAACAGTAGAATTTAAATGAGGGTTGAGGTTGGAAGCAAAAGTATGGCAGAAAACACAGAAAAAAACCAAGGAAATAGGGAAAAGCTGAATTGCTGGTGAGTAGAAAGGTATGGAAGAGAAGAAAGGGAAGGGCCTCATCTGCCTCTCACCATATACCTTTCAGAGCATACTCCCAAACTCTCTTTAGTCCAAACAAGGGAACAAGAGGGGTTAAAGAAAGCTACCATTTAAATGGCTCAAGAAACACGGAGTGGCCCTGACTCAAGTAGAAGAGGAAATTCTCAGGTAAGCAACCTTGCCAGCAGCCCTAAGGAACAACAGCCTCCAGCAAGGAAACTAGAAAGTTCTTTGCAACACACTCAAAAAGGAATCACTATTTCTTACTTCCAAAATGTGGTACCTGCAAGGCAGATTACAACAGCTCTTAGAGTTTGGGGTTAAGAGCATATAGCAACTAAGAACACAAAATGCAAAATAATGCAACTCAGTCAAATAGGGAGATTTCTTTCAACCCTAATGCAATTTAGAATGGACACAAAACCTAAAAATTCAATTTTGGTATGTGTTTCATGAGGACCCGACTCAGTTCTGACTCAAAAAAGAAGCCAGAAATACCAAGAGAGACAGAAATGAATGCAAAACACAAGTATGATGGTAGAAAGGGACTAAAATTGATTGTTCATCTGAAATAAAGAAGGTCTTCTCTCTCTCCAAGCGCTACACACATGGACTTGGGCTTGCAGCTACTGAAAGTGCCACTGCAATTTCTCCTGCCAGACAGGTCAGCTATTCACACTTCCTGTTCATGTTCCAGTCCAAGTGCAACAATTATTTTTTACTATTTCCATTTTCTCCACTTAAAAGGGTAAAACTATTCTTTCTGGCCTTTGAAGGTATGCGTAGGTTTATACTCACAGCTATAATAGTTTCTGTGCCTCATGCCAGAGTTGGTTATATTCTGGATGAAAGAATGTGGTAAAGCTACTCTTAGGCTTGTTGAAAGGAATATATGCATTTTAAAAAATCATTATGTTATAAATGAATTCCAGAACAATGAGTTGTTCCCCAGGCTCAGAGTCCTGTCCTGCAAGTGGTTTAAAGTGATGATCTTCTGGAACCTTACTGAAGTCAGTGTACAACTCTTTAGCTGTAAAGGCCTGCACTGTGAACAGCTATTGCAATGTGTTTTTACTTTTCCTGGATATATATGCACTTCACAATGCAATAGCAATCTGAATTACAGTTTTTAATCAGTTAATTTTATATGAGCTGAAAAGAAGCATCTTTCAACTCAGTGATTAATGGTTAAACTCCAAAGCAGGAAGCAAAAGTTTTCAAATAACCTACCTCTGACAATGCTTAATTTGTGAGGTGAGAGAGGTGGCTTGGGAACGGCATCTTTCTTTTTTTTGGTTGCAACTCCTGTGACACTTCTGTTCTTGAGAACATCTGTTCCCCAAATCATAACCGCTAGATTTTTTGTATACTTTGAATCTCCTTGTGTTACTTGCAGCTGGTGCCATTTCTCCTCATCTACCCAAATTCCACTGCCAAGATGGACCTAGAAGGTAGTAATAATAACAACTTATCTATGGTATGTAGCACAAAACAGTATCCAAGTGCTGTAGGAACATTAATATTAGATACTATAATAACAGTAATTAGGGCTGAACAAATCCATTTTGCCTAATTCTGAAATTTCTCCAACTTTGTGGGTCAAGGAGTTCGAGTCAACTTCTTAATATAATATAGTTCCTTTTTGTATTCAAGCCTTCTTACTCTCTGCTTTCCCCCCCACAGAGCCTATCTCCTTCAAAGACTATGGTCAGGAACAGAGATAGAAGGAGGAAACAGTAAACACATCCAGTATTACAAAGGTATGCACAGCATGTAAACCAAGCAGTTGCACCAGCCTAATTCAGGAGCAAGATGACACATCGCCTTTAATATGAAAGCTTCCCTCCAGCTGAAACAGGCCTTACCCAAAGCATATTTCGGAGGCAGTAGAGAGGGAAATACTTCCTAAGTTGCATCCTGTACCTGTTGGCAAAATTCCATCTGATTGTTTAAAGTAACTAGAAGGGGGGAAGAGATTTTGAGAGCTCCAATTTCACGATAAGCCAAGAGAGTCTGGAAGCTTTGTAAAACCTCCACTTCTATCATGAAGTTTGCCTGTCATGTAAGATCAATCTACCCACATGAAGACTGTTTTGTGGTGAGGCAACGACTCTTTGCTGCAACTTCACAAACTTTCCACTATCTAGACAATGGGGAGCAGAGATGTCTAACCGAAGTGGTAAAGCAGGATAATACGGGTACTGGGAAAAGCAGCATGAGGCCACTGGAGAGTCTCCAAAAGGAAGCTGCTCCAGACTAGTTGTGTTTCTTGGTCTTGCTCAGCACTGACTATACTGGGTGGACTCCCACAGAGCTACACCAGCTCTCCACCCCAAGATTCCCAGTGCTCCAGATGAACACAGAATGAGAATCTGTGGTTCTTGGTCTTGGGCTGCTAGTCCCACCAGGACACCATCAGAGCAACAGCAAGGGAAAAAACTCCACTGGTCATCAGTATGGGTGTGACGTGAGTGCAGTCAGGATGCGAACGCTGGCCCTGGGTGGAACCACTGAGAATGTTTTGCACCTGGCATGTCCATGCCCCCAAGTCCTGGAGGACAGTGCAGACGCCTGAACTACCTCTGCACACAGAAAGCTTTGTCTGCATGGTGTTGAACTTCATTTGGTTGGACCCACACTTCCTCATCAACCGTAACAAGCTAATGCATGACCTAGGAATTCTAATTACTGATGAGAGCTCGCTGCACTGGAAAGGAAGAAGACACAACTTACTCTCAGATAATCTCTGAAAGTGCAAAATACCAAAATTACGTATTAATCAGATTGTTATATCCAAAATTTAGGTTTCTAAAATCTGATCCAATGTAACACTAACCTTTAATAAAAACTTACTGCCTCCTCATGATTAAATAAATCATCCTGTTAAAGCTCTATGGCAAAACTATATTAGGAGATTGTTTGACTTAACTGTTTTGCTCTTGGCTTTTTTGGTTTTACTCCTTTGATGTGGCATTACATAAACTGTGCCTGCTACCTACACAGATCTGAACAGTGTCACGTTAAGTCCCATTAAATGCAATGAAAATTGGACAAAGCTACTGTAAAATTTTATACACCCATAATTTTACTGCCTGTATTCAACCAAATACCATTTTTCCTTTAAATGGAAACTTGCTTTAATTATTAATGAGGCCTATAAGCCGAAGAAATTTTTTATTACAACAGCATCCTTCAAAAGCAACGAGTTGTTTAAATAGAAAAATATTAATGGTTTGGCTACCAGCTACACTATAAAATAACAAATGAAAAGTCTAACTTCCTCAAAGTATACAACCATAAAGCAAGCTGCCTCTCCTGCAAAATCTTCTCCACTAAAGGGATTCTAAGAATCTTTTCACAAGTCTGCACTGGATTTAGATTTCATAAAGGACAGAAATGGAACTGGTAACAACCACAATGTGAACATCCCTTCTTTTTTTCCTCCTCCTTCTCTGTTGTGAAGCCTCTTAATTGCTTTAAATTGGTGCTCTTTTGGTGCTGTCTGCATATCCTGTATAACAACTTCAATCAGAACGAGCATTTTGTGCTCAGAAAACAATTGAGTTATATCTATAATTCAGTTCTTCTGGTTTGATCTTGGAAAAGTTATCTGTAAAAGTGAGTGTAATTTACTTAGAAAATAATTGAGATCAGAAATGTTGTGATTTGTCAAATTTGGGATGTCTGCAGTACATTAGCTGTAGAAACTGCTCTAATTGATCAAGAATCTGATTTTCTTCTGCCAAAATTAGGGTTTGTCTTTGCTAAAGATTGTTTAGTCTCTTAAGCCACTACATTATTCACTAGCCTTAAGTTACTTAAAAGAAAACAAGTTACAGCAAGTATTTTTAATATTTATGATTCATTCAGACAGATCATATCCTCTTTGAACATGCTTCATTTATTTAAAAAATGTTATCACCGCTATGAAACACCTACGGTAGAAGCAACTATATGACAGCCAGACACAGAAATCTTCTGTCTCCCTTTTTCCTATTTCTAGCACTGTTATGGCAAGGAATTTCATCTGCCCATGTCTCAGTTTACGTCCCTGTGGAACAACCTCAGTACTGTTTCCTACTACTCCCAAGGCTATGGGAAGCTTACTGTACTCCAGATACAGAAGCCAGTTCTCCTTGCTGGAAGAGCCGCCCCATGGGCCAGACCCTCGGCTTGAAGAAATCAATGGGAACTTTACCCCTAATTTCAGCAACTGCAGGATCAGCCTTCAAGCATAACGCAACAGAAAAAAACCAGCAAATTCAAAGCAAAGTTCACCACCATAACTGTGCTAACATGTGCAACCTGTATCTAAAATGTTTCCCAGAAGATGAGCTATTTTTTTCCCTTCTTTTTCCCCTTCTTTTCTTTTCTCTAAATGAATGTCACAGGCTCTTTTTCAGTAACTGTGTTCTCCCTCTGGAGGGGAAAGATTTATCTCCTTTGAAAGAATCCTAAGATCAAACCCGATGCCACAAAGGACAAGATTTCTAGAAAAGTATTTCAGCTACACTAGTGGTGCATGTCAATAAAGGAATAATGAAAGAAAGTAAGGAAAACTGAAAAAAAAAAAAAAAAACAACAACCTCCAACACATTATTAGTTCACACTTCTGGCATCTGAGCTGGCTGAAGCCCCAGTAAATAGGCAAATTGGAGAAAAAATGTACAAAAGGAAAGTTAAAGAGGTATTAATATCTGTAAAGAGAGAGAAAATTTCAGCAACGTAAGTGCCAAGAAGCTGGCAGATGAAATAAAGGTGTGGGAAAAGCTGCATACAAGTATGAAAGGACGTGCCCTATCCCACAGACCTTAAGCAGAAAAAAAAGGCAGATAAAGCAAACTCTCACAGTAATACATGCTATGTTTGCATTGCACAAATATATAAAAAAAATTTACAAGCAAACAACGTACGTTAAATATATTAGACAAGAAAAGCAATCTGAACCAAATACCTGTCAAGCTGCCAAGATTACACTATTTTTCACACACATTTTGTCCTCAACAATTATGTCAAACTCATCTTCAAGAATGACAGACACTTGTGCAGTCAATCTTGTAACACAGATCTGAAAATGTAATATCTCATGCTATCCCATCAGCAATTCCACTGCACGCCAAAGCTGAAAGGGACATTTCCTCCTCAGAGGTTCTCTGATTATGGCACCAAATCCATACATATCTAAGAAATGGGATCTGCATGAGCCATTCTGAAGGACATATACTTTTGGAAAAGAAAGATAATGTTCATTTAATGATAATGGCCCAAGCTATAAAAGCAGACCTTGGTAGATGAGTGGACAATGTGCTGAACATGCTGAAGTCTGAAAAGCTATCAGGCAGAGATCCTGGCAAACTGTAGCTAGATGGTATTTCATCAACTTTACAGAAGTATCTGGAAAGTGGCACTCCATCAGCTCAATTCAATGGCAGAGCTTCTACCAGAATCAAGGGAGGATTCCAGGGGTTCATAGCTATCTACTGGACTCCAACCAAAACTTGAAGGCTTTTCTGCAGTATGACTACAGCACATGAAAACTACTATCAAAGACCTTCTAGGAAAAAGTATTTCTGTTAAACAGGCTGATGTAACTTCATAATGTGGGTTACTAACTGGTCTATACTAGGTGGGATTTACGTTTCTCACCAATTGAAGGCTAGGCCAATTTGCTGTGCATGTACAGTTATTAACTCCATTCCTTGTGTTGCACAGCATTCAGCAATCTCATCCCTGAGGATAACCTTCTATGCGGTTTATATTTGCGTAATTTCATAATTTTCCTCAGCCTAATAGCATACCTTTATGAAAACTGAGGAAGTCTGCTACCATGGAAAACCCCTGAGATCATGAAAATTCCACAAGAAAAATCATCTGATGGACATTTACAAGTTATTCATGCTATATTTAATTTAAAATACCTTTCCATTCTCGAGAATATACTTGTCCATTACTGGAACAGGGGCAGGATAGTACGTTGATGTATTTGCTTCCTCACTGAAGGTCTTCTGTACCTCAGGTTCAGGCTCAATTGATTCTGCTTTTACTTTTTCAAGCTCAATGGCAGGTCCTAGACAGTTAAGAAAAGAGAGCTGTCTGCTATCACAGAGAACATGAAATCAACCACTTCATCACCCATGGTTAGCATAAAATAACACATTTATCATGTTCATTTTAAAGTGAGAAAGAGTCTAAACCAAAATCCTACTTCTGAATGTCAATAAATAAAAGTAGGATAAGTAATTCTGCTTTATCAACTTCAAAATGTTTAATCTTAATTTAACTGTCTAATTTTATTCTCAATAACAGTTACAGATATGGGTAAGACTGCTTCGATGCACAGTACAGAAATTAAGTTCAAATGACACTGAAATTATAAGTCAAAAGCAACAATAGTAATTCTTGAAATAAGAATTACTACAGAGTTGCACAGGAACCTGCATAATTTACTGTGATAATTACATAAATTATCCATATAGAATTGCAAATTTTATAGGAATTTTAAATCTCCTTAACAGAGGAATATTAAAAATAGGGAGGATCTACAAAAATGCTATAAATGAAACAGGCTTAGGCTACTTATGCTAAAGTATCATGCATAGAAAGGTTAAAAAACCGACATAAATTAGAATTTTGATTGTCCAATCCATCCAACACATTGATTTTTATTTTGAATGTAATCAACAAAAATTCAGCACAGATTAAACAACACAACACTATTAAGCATATGTTTGAGGCTTCAAGGGAGGATAATTATTTTGTCAGTCATCAACTTTTCTTTTCCAGATCAATTTTATATAGCGTTCCTAAAAAGACAGAAGAACAAAATAAAATAGGTTGGGAACTGGATTTCATTATTCCATTAATTGCAGTGGTTACACCAGGAACAGGCCACGTCCCCAAGCCTATCAATGGCCCTTGATGTCTGTCTCTAGGATCACAAGAAGCTCCAGCAGTCACTAAAGTTCCACGCAGGGATGGTGGGTCGTTAACACAGCAGGGTTGCCAGCTTACACCCTGGGCACCACGGTAATCGGTCATTTCCAAGAGCAATAAGAATTCACTTACAAGAATTAGATTGTACCAGGTTGGTGCTGAGTGTGCTGCAGCACTCTGTAGCCCAACCCTGACATCTTCAACAAATGCCAACTCAATAATGAGGTCACCATCATGGTTCAGAATCCCTCCTCGGTGTTTGTGCACACAGACCGAGCCCCGGATGGATCTAACTCTGCATGTCAAACTGGCACCAGAACTCACATCTTGAGTCACGGATCTCAAATAGTTCCTGTAACTTGGACAGGCAAAGCATTCACTCCTACTTTGTGCAGTTTCATTTAGAGATGATTATACAGTGATATCAGCATTTTCTCCATTGCCAGCACTTGACATTTATCCTATAGCTTATTCCACACCTACGTTCTAGGCGTATGTTCTCAGCTGACTGCCACTTGACACTCAGCAATGACAAGTAGAAGTTGTCTTGGCAACTCACCAACCCCATACTGCAGTGCCACCAACAAGAGTGTCTCAAGAGCGCCATGCAATGCAGGCATGTTGCAAATGGAGAAACCACAAAAACCATATCATCCGCATTGTAATTTCATGGTAATCTTAATAAGCACCTCTGCTGTCATGCAGATACAAGGGTTTGGCCAAGACAAACTAAACTTTCTAAACTTGAGACTGCTAAACTGATTCAGACTGGGAGAAAGACCTGGACTGACTAAGCCACCCCAAGCCTGCAGACATTTCGGTGTAGGCACACCTCAACAAGCAGATGCAGTGATGTGATTGCCAGGTGAACTTCAGAAGTGACCTTTTAGCTGCTACTTCAGGAAGAGATAACAAAGTGCTATTTTCAGTTTTCTTATACTTTGAAAGACACTTTCAGGAAGATGTCTACACACAACCACCTTCTTCCTAGAAGGAAACGTTTATCTCAGTTTAAACGCTTTACTACCTGCTAATTAGAAGGCTTTAACTGTTTTGTTTATAGACATATATTGACACAGCTGGGCTTTGGTTTCCGGAGTCCCCCAAGAAAACCAGCTGATTAAAAGCCACAATAACCATAGCTCTAGCAAGTCAGACAAAATTCTACTGCAATTCACGCTTTACTGATGGCTTAGAAAGATTTTAAAATATCTTCATTTATACTCTACTGACTTTTTTCTTCCCAAACAGAAACTGCTTCTAACTAGGTTGTCTTCACAGCTACGTTCACCACCTCCTGAAGGCTGCATTTTCAACCCGGCGTGCTGTGAATTAGACATCACCCTGCATTATTGCCCTTGTGATGGGAGTTGTGTGCCCAATTTACTGTGCACCACGTCCCAGTTCCCTCTCTCTGTAGCTCTCATGCTCTGCCTCTTATTTTAAAGATGATGAATGGGACGTACGGAACTACATATTCTGCTATCTAAAGGCTTAACAATGATAGTACTTATACAATAAGGATTATAAAAACTAAAGGCAATTCTTCAGAATGCAAAGAAGGAAACAAACGTTTTATTGCAAAATCTTTCTCCTTCTGACTGTAAAGTTTCCATAACATCTGAGAGACCAGCAACTTTAAGGGCAGGGTGAAGAGGTCAGAGGCTTCCCTTTACCACCCCTTTTCCTCGAAAATGCATCTTGGGCTACATGCTACTCAAAAACTAGTAAAGAAGCCAAAATAAATTAACTGATGAAGTGCTCAGTATACACTTGGAAGCAGCAAGCTGTTTTTCCACGTGGTCTGCCAGAATCTGAATGAGAACAGTAACCTGAGAGGTGGTAATATTATGTATGTGGTACTTCCTGCACTCATACTCAATAAAAGCCTTGGACTTGGTTTACATCAAAAAGCCAAACAAATCCAGAAAAGATGAAGAATAATAAATTCCTTATGTGTGGTGAGACACAAATACTATTTCTTTCTTCTCTATCCTCACGTCGGTCCCAAGAAACTGCAAAATTGATCATTGAAATTCAACTGGGATTGAAAAATAACCACTTTGGGGTGTGTGCGCGTGTTCAAAATGCTTATGAATGAGAGTGAATAAACTCCCTGATTTTAATGCGACACTGATTTTTAGCAATACAATATGAAAATGCAGTATCTATCAGGGAGCAAACACCACCCAAACATCATCCCTGATAGATCTTCACTACTTCTGGCCATATACAACCACAGTAAAATGCACAGATCTTACCCTGGAGACAACTGGTTTTTTTAAGACATTATTGAAATCCTTATCTTTTGCAATCCAAGGACTATTCAAAGATAGACCTGCAGGGGAGAGCCAGTGATTTAATTCTCTAAATCACCTTACTCTCTATTGATAAAACCAGGGGAAATTAGTGTGTTTTCAGGTGCAACAGAACAAAGAGAAACTGCAAAGTTCTGTGATCACAGGGTGTCCTGATCCTAAAGCAGGCTAGCGACAAAAGGCTTCGGCTGCTCACATTTTTCTGGGATCTCAGATGAGGGATACCATAACCTCTTCCACGACAGCCATCATGTTTCCCCCCTGCTTTGAACCCTAGAGCCCTGGTCAAATGCCTGCCTTCTCCAAGAAGGGATCTGTTGGGCACCAGTGTATCAAAACCTTAAAGAAGCTTTAGTATATCCCCATGGTCCAGCCCAGATTTCACCGCTGTCACTTGCCACATCTGCTTTCAAGGCTCTTTGAAAACAAGGAGCAATTCAATGTTGCCACATGGAAGATTAAGAACCTCACTCTTCCCAAGAGAGAGGCTCTAGTTCAGTAGCAGAGATGAAGGCCTAGGTCTAAGGCAGAATACATTGACTTCTAGCTGCTCACTGCACTCAAGGTAGTGATGGGAAGCCAGGAGACTGAATACATGACTGAATGTTAGCTCAGGAGGTTGTTCTGTATCTGATCTGCAAGTTTCAAACATGTTTCCCACAGCTGATCCACCAACACAAACCAGTTGTCATCTCATGACCCAAACCTTGAAATCTCTAAAGTGAAATAGCCACTCAATTAGTTGGCATTAAGTCCAGGCTGCTAGAAGTTACAGCAGCATAACAGAAGCTACCTGTAATGTGAACCTCTGCATTTAGAGATTGCTGCAACAACTGAAGATGAATTCAAGATGTAATCTATTTTTGGAACAATTTTCATAGATTATTCATATATCGAAACATACCTCACTTATAAACTAGCAAAGTAAGGAAGACTAAAGAAGTCTTTACATATCTGTTTTCTTGATTAAAAGCAGCACTTTTTCATACTATCAAGACTCCCTGATTTATAATTAGTGGAAGATGTCTGCCTTTCTAATCTCTCAGAAATTTTGCACCGATCTTTCTAGAATCTGGTTGTTTCTCTGCTGTGAATGAGGCTTCAAGGAAAGGCAAGATTTACCAGCAGTTAAATACACTGAGTCTTAGGAAGCACACAAGCTGTGAAGGACCCAGCCCACAGGGCCAAATTCTACCTTTGTCATCCATGAGAAGTTCCATACAAGTAATAAAAACATGGGATTATTTTTTGGAAGTTAACTATGATTTGTATTTGTCCTGGTATGTGATTAAGTTATAAGAACTTGTCTTCACTGTAATCGAGGTTTATTTTCAGTTGTAAAGCAGGTGCCAGACTGACACAATGAAAATTCAAGCCCAGTATTTAGAGAAGATTCACCAGTTTTCCAAGAGGTTTTAAAGTTTTTTGGGTTTTGGTTGGTTGTTTTTGTTTGTTTGTTTTGTTTTGTTTTGTTTTGTTTTTGTTTGTTTGTTTGTTGGTTGGTTTTGGTTCTGCTTTTTTTTTTTTTTTCCTTCAAAGCTTTCTCGATTTGGCTCTACTGAAAAAAACATCCCTTCTTTCTTAAAAGGGAAGAAATGAGACAATTCAGAAGCTGTCTTCATTTCATTGCTGGTCTCACCACTCAAACTGCTGTCAAGTCTACCAACTAAATTGGTATTTTACACCGTTCAGCCCCATTGCCTATGAACATCTGGCTGATGCCCCATTCACATAAATTCCAGCTAACTACTTGCAAATGAAGAAACATCTTTCCATCCAAGGAAAATCTAAGAAAGCTCATTGTAATCTACTGCCAACCACATCATGTTTTTCAGACTGTGTAAACCTTGCCTATTGAGTTTTATTAAAAAAGTTAACTAGAAGGTTTATAAGAAGTAATGACATTTTAATTATGCACAGCGTAACAATGATGAGCATTCACAATCAAACACCCAGTTTAAATGGCCAGGTGCTGCTTTGAGGGCCTGGCTACAAACTCTCAGGCACACCTTTAACACATGCTCCAGCACAGGCACATGCTCTCTCGGGTTCAGGTTTGTACGTGAAGGTAACTCAGACCCACATGCAAATTGCATGCACTCGTTCAAGTCAAGTAGTCAAGGAATCCAATTTACATGCAAAAATTAAGGTTTTGGGTACACAAGGGCAGACATAAGAAACAGCATGCTAAGTATGGATGCACAAATTTCAACCACGTTTCAGTCACCGAGCAAATATTCAACACAGCAGTACCACATTCTAACAGCAAACAAATATAAAATTAGTAAGATATTTGAAGGTATTCCAAGGGTACCATCTTCAATGAAAAGGATGAACTTTTTATTTTGTCTTTTTTTTCCCATTTATTCCAACATAATGGTTAAGTAATTGTTATAAATCAAAACAAAGGAGCAATTGACTCGAGATATTTAAAATTTAAATCCAAATTACACAAACCTGCATTTTGTAACAAATGTTGATAAACGGGACACTAATAAAAAAAGTTTAATTAGTCTTTAACAATCCATTATTTTTCAAATAGCGTGGCTGTTTAAAGCCACTGCTGGGAAGTTCAGGAATATATTACATTCTAATGAGTTCCTAATGGGAAGAGGGGGAGAAAATGGAAGACAACACAGTCACTTACATAACAATAACCAAAGTCCCTAACTGAAAGGAATAAAATAGTTTTAGCCCAAATATTCATTCTACTGTCTTTTCTTTCTTCTTTTCTTTTCTTTTTAAGCTGGAACATATATTTTGCAGATGATGCTTTATTATCTTTTTCCGCATATACTGGAAGGTTGGAGACTCTTTAAAATACAGCTGCTTAGAACGGAACTCTGATTCAACCACACCAGCACAAAGACCTCCACTACCATTAAAGAAAAACCCAGACGTACAGAGCATACAAATTCAACACATGTTGTACAGTCATAGCAGAAAACCCTTTTAACATTCAATGTCCAGTTTAACAACCACTGCTATTCTTCAAATACGTTTCCATTACTATTGATCACGCTTGCAAAATTCATTAAAACTAGTCCCATTTAAGTCCGGCACTTACCACTACCTAGTCTTAGAAGCAGTACATCCTGGAGTCTCCTGTTCAAGTCTCTGAGCTCTTTCATTTCTGACACGAGTGCCCCATACTCCTTTAGCTTCTTTGCCTGTTGCACAAGCTGCCTCCGCGTTCTCTCCAGCTCCTGTTGAATGTGTCTCATTTCTTCCTGTTGCTGTTGGTAACTCCTCAGCAATTCTTCATAGAGTATCCGAGGAACTACAGCATCGTCCATGTTGTTCATGCCTTCCGAAGTCTCCATAAAAGCCTCCTCAGGGCTGGAAGTATTACTCAGACTCATCCCATTCTGTTTTTCAAGGCGAGCAACAACTGCTTCAATGCTTTTGTGTGTACCTTCACTTTGTTTCCTCCCATCTTGTCTCTGTATGTTACAATAAAAAACAAAGAAGTTAAGAGAGCAGCAAGATGCAATAAAGTTAAAACACTACACACTTGGAAACTGCTCATATTCATGTATTCCAAAAAAAACCCAAGATAAAGTCTGCCTGCAAAAATGTTCTGCCTAACATTTTTGTGGATATACATCATAACTATTGTGCACGTATAATTCAGGTAACTATACATACAAACTTCTGAGGCAGTGAAAAGGCCTTTCTGCATTTGTGCAATACTTGCAAGTTCAGTGTAGACAGATCACTTGATTCCATATATAAAGATAATAATTCCTATTAAAAAAAGTGAATCGGGATCTCTCTGCCTTTAAATTTTACATGTAACATTTAGCTTTCTGATATTATTACGGTTTTCTAATAAGTAAGAGAAAGAATCACCTATGGGCTATGTCTGCCACCTGCACCAACACTGGAGATGAGAGCAGCGTGCCAAACAAAGCTGGTCCATGAACAGAGGGCTTGTCCTTCCTACACTGGGAGACAAAACCTTCTCGGACTATTCCTCTAGCATGTTCACCCAACTGGCTGATGCAAACGACTGAGTTAATGCTTCCAGCAAACACTGAATGGGAACTGAAAACTCCAAAGTTGGAGACAGAATGTATCATCCAGACGCATCTCCCTCATCAGCTGGTTCCTTCTGCACTAACACTGCATTGCAGAGGCTTCCTGCCTTTTGAACCCCTGACACAAAATTACCTTCAGTCATCCGCACAAACTGTACAAATTAAAGAACACCTCTTTTCTGGGGCCTGGATAGTGGTATTAAAATGTGACAGCATGGGTAACAGTCCCCAAGGTTTTCTTTTTCCAAATATGGAAAAAGCATCCAAGAGTAATGTGGCAGAAAATGAGATTATTTGATGTTATGTCTGCTCCATGCATGTTCAAAAAAAAAAAAAAAAAAAAAAGAAAAAGAAAAATAGAAAAAAAATATGCTGGCTCATCATAAAGAAATATACCAGTATACCAGTATCAGTCCTGCAGCGAAAAAACACATGAAGCCACAGAGCACCATTTTTGTTCTGAAGGTTGGCAGACTTTTAAAGAAATTATTTGATATTAAAAAAAAACAAAAAAAAAATTTACATCGTGGGTTTCTGGCATCTGGACCCAAAAAGCAAACAAGGGAGTTGTAACGGAGGGATGCAGTCCTGTCAGTTTGTCTTCTCAGCCACTGTTGGGGTTGGGAAGTCTTGGAGCACCCCTTCCAATTCCAAACCAACAGGTCAGAAGTGCCACTGGGAACAGCTCCTCGACATTCACATAACTGGTGACATATAAAGCATTCTGGGCCAAAGTGGAAGGGCAGTGTCCCAAAAATCTCAAATGGCAATTAAACAGTACAGGCAGTATAAACAGGAAAGTGTTTGATTGTATATAGATCAGGTTTTGAAAACTTGTATCCCACACCCATACGCAATTTGACCCAATTTCACCAAACACTGTTTTAAGAGGATCAAAAGCAGGCCTAGAATTCTTAAGCTATGACATCTGTATATGCCCCAAGCACTTAAAAAACAAAAGAAATAAAAAATAGAAAGAGAAAAAAGAAAGGAAAAAAAATAGGGACAATAAAGGAAAAAAAAAAAAAAAAAGAAAAAGAAAAAAGAAAAGACTTCAGTACCTTACTGTGTCTAAGCTCCACATCTTCTTCCCCATAATCTGTAACCTCCCCAGCTTCTTCTACGTGATTGAGAGAGAGTTTGGGGATTTTAATTTTCTTCTGCATCACACTGTTCTCAAGGTCAGTTTTGTCCTCTAAAATGTATATTAAAAATAAAATTGTTACATTAATCAGTGTTCTTACTTCCAAATACTACATGACTTAGGCAAGACCAGTTTAAAAAAAAAAAATACAGACAAAAACCAAACCCCCAGAAATGTCCATGCTTCAATCCCCTCATAATAGCTTGATAAAATTAATCCACGGTGTAACTCAGCTGATGCACACTTACAATTCTAGTTGCAACAGGAGATCAAAAAAACTGAACACAAGAATAAGTATTGTAAAATACCCAGCTAAATTCTCACGTGTGATCAAAAGTGTCAATGAGTACCTTGCACTACCACTAAAATAAGAGTTAAAGATGCTGTAAATAAAACAACCTTCATAAACTCCATCTGTACTGCTTTGTTTACCAACAGTATTTTCATATTCATAATCTGTTGCTGCAGTTAGCAAGCTCTGCTATTTTCAAGTGACAATAAACTTGGTAGGTTCTGCTGTTCTGCAAAGTGCAGGGCTGGAGAAGGGGATGCTGCAGAACAGGCCATCACAGAAAACTTGTGTAAGGACGAGATCTGTAACAAAATTACTATATGACCCCCATTTAATCAGTTCATGGTACTAATCCTTTTCCTCTAGATATGCAAAGCCGATAAATGCTTGTATTTAATCTAATTTAAAAAATTCAAGTATTTTCAAGCCTGAAAATATATCTCAAAATTAAGCATTTCAAAATGTTATTCTGGAAATAAGTTTCCAATATTTTAATACTCCTGAAAAGGTATGGGATAGGTTACAAAGCGTAGTATCCTCAAATGTGCCTATGACCTGTAAAATTCCTGCAGAGCAGACAAGATCTTAAAAGGTCCACAAGCTTGGCTTCAGCAATACCATGGATGAAGGGATGGAGTATATCCTCAGCAAGTCTGCTAATGATATGAAACTCAGCCAAGTGGCTGACACAGAGCTGCACTGACATTCAGCAAGACTTGGACAGGCTGAAGAGTTGGGTGGAGAGTAACCTCATGAAATTCAACAAGGGCAAGTGTAGAGTCCTTTGTCTGGGGAGGAAAACCCCCTGCACCAGTACAGGTCATGGGTTGACCTCCTGGAAATCAGCTCCACAGAGGAGGAGTTTGGAGTCCTGGTCGACAGCAAATTCACCATGAGCAAGCAATGTACATCATAGCCAAGAAGGCAAATGGTCTCCTGAGGTGCATTAAAAAGAGTGTGACCAGCAGATCAAGGGAAAGTCTCCTTCCCTTCACCTCTGCCCTGGTGAGGCCACATCTAGAGTCCTGTGCCCAGTACTGGGCTCCCCAGTTTGAGGGAGATAGGGAACTACTGGAGAGAGTACAAGGGAGGGCTAAAAGGCTTGATTAAGGAACCAGAGCATCTCTGTGCTAAGGAAAGGGTGAGAGACATGGGGCTTGATAGCCCAGAGAAGAGAAGGCTGAGAGGGGATTGGATCAATGTTTATAAATATCTGAAGGGTGGGTGCCAAGAGGATAAGGCCAGTCTCTTTTCAGTGGTGCCCATTCACAGGGCAAAGGGGCAACAGGCACAAACTGGAACACAGGAAGTTCCGCACGAGTATCAGGAAAAGCTTCTCTACAGTGAGGGTGACAAAGCTCCGGAGCAGGTTGCCCAGAGAGGTTGTGGAGTCTCCTTCTCTGGACTTTCAAAACTCTCCCAGATGGTTCCTAGGTAACCTGCCCTAAGCAACTCTGCTTTGGCAGGGAGGTTGGACTAGGCAATCTCCAGAGGTCCCCTCCAGCCCTTACCATTCTGTGACTGTGTGATAGCTATTCAAGACATCAACAAGGAGAAACGCACTAAAACTCTGAAGTGTTGTATTTGTACGCTGAAAGCTTATGACTAAGAAAACATTTTGAGTCATCTTATTCACCTGCAAACTGTATTTCACAAAAAGTCCCGTGAATATCTTTGAAAGTGCCAACTAGGACGGTGTTTGTGAGTTCCTAGCTGCACTGACTTTTGCTTTCTGAAATTAGCATCTCTCCACAGGACTTTGAAATGTTTAGTCTTGACAGGGTAGGAAAGGGAAACAAAGGTAAATCACTGTTTAATGAGGAGCAAGGCATTCATTAGAAATGAATTACACAGATGAACGCAATTAATTTTGTTGCAGATAGAAATGGATCTCTCGTAGGCGAGTGGTGATATTACAGCCCAAGGCTATGTAAAGAAAATAGGCACAGAACATGCAGAATAAGACATTAGACAACCTGAAATGAAATGCAGATGGTAGCAATAAATACTAAGACAGATGCAAAAAGAAACAGATAAACAACAGAAAACAGCTAGGCTTATTTTAGATCATTCTCCATTCCCCAGAGCATCGTGGGTGCTTATCCCAGTAAAATAAAAAGGCAATCCAACTGTTTCAGTTTTGTAAAATAAATCCTTATGTTTTTATTTATCTGGAAAACATAGGTTCATCAGCACACTGAGATAACCCAGTTCTACTGTCAGAGAGTAGAGGAGAAAATAAGAAAGCCCAGACTGGCAGGTACTTGTATCTTCTTGGAAGGACAGGAATTTAAGAATAAATAAATCCATACCAAATTTAAAAAAAAACAAAACAAAACAAAAAAAAAAAAACCAAAAAACACAACCCTTTTTCTGTGGCTATGTATTTTAGGATGATAGACTCAGGAATTCTTTACTAAAGTATGTTCTCACAGTTCCTTAGAAGAGCAGCAGCACGTGCACGCTGCAGAGCCAGCTTCTCTGGACTGCTTTGCCAAATCATCTTCCACAGAACGTGCAGACAATCTCCTTCTACATTTCAAGAATGCAGCTCAGTTTCTATGCTCCCAAATAACCCCTGGCTTCACAACAAGAGGGACTCAATCCAGTCACTTCACGTAGTTGAAAAAAACTATCTGCTGGCAACTAGCTGAGGTCACCAGTAGCCAGAACCTCATGCATGCTGGAATCGGACACCAGCTGTCCTTCCCATGGCCAGGGAAACGCAAGACTTGAAACGCTCATGGGAAGGGGTCACAGAGGAGTAATTGCATGAGCAGACTACAGGGGAAGTCAGCAAATACTTTCTGACAAATAAAAAAACATTAAAATAAAAGCACTTTGGAAGAACAGAAATATTTATCTTTTTATTTTGGCTTTTTATTTGTAAGTCAATTTATAAAGGTTAAGAACCCTTGTTACGCATTGAATGACAGATATTAAAGAAAATGTGTAGTTCGAGGTCAAAGAAAACAATGCAAATCATCTGAATTCTTCATCTTTTTCACTCCCTTCCTAATTTCTGTTTGAAATTTACGTTTGCCGAATTTCACTGGTGGACTGAAGGTGAAAGTTTGCTTATATACCCCCTTGCAAATGCTTAGTTTGTACATTATTGCTGTGCAACTATTACACAGTTCTCTTTCACCTTTGGCAAACATATTCATTTGGGTTTTTTTATTCTACTGCTTATCCTGTAAATGAACCACTAAGAAAACAAGCTTTTTCTCCCCACACAACATTTGAAGAAACAATGGTGAAAAAGAGTTTATAAAAAGTCAAAGCTCAGTTGATGAGCAAATAATGTTATGTTCCTCTGCCTTCCAACAACACTACATGTAATGTTTTCTTACATATGCTCTGGTCTTTGTAGGCCTATTTATATCTAACAATTCATCCAGTGTGCTGGATATGAAAAGGCCTTTTTTTTTTTTCTTTTTATAAAAGCACATTTCTAAGTTCTGTTGTCTTCTGCATTAGCTGCAGATAGAGCCAGAAAAATCTCATTCTGAATTTGAGGCTAATGCTGGAGTATTTGCTCTTGGTCTGTAAATATTAATGGAATTTGGGAAGGGGCAAGAGGGAAAGAGAGGAGCCCGGGGGGGGGAGGTAGGAGAAACATGAACGTGCATTTAGAGCAGTTCTTAGGACTCTCTGCTGTTGTGCCAGCCTACATAAGACAGGTACAAAAGAAGAATCCAGCAAAAAGCAGAACACGCACAATTCTGAGCCAGAAGAAAGCCAGGACATGAACCAAAGACAAGCTGCAATTCAGTGCCTGAAGCTACAGAACAAGAGAGGAGGGCAGCCCTAGAAACATTGTAGCTCACAGACTCATTTTGTAATGACACAAATAATGTCTCTGGACTTTGTTGCCAGCCATTCAAACCTTGCTACAAGTTAAAAATGATACCTTCCCATGAGTGGCCATGTTCAGATTGCCATAAAATTGTGTCCATTGTTTTTCCTAAATAAGGAAAAAAGTTCAGTGATACCAGCTGTAAAGAACTAGCACTTAACACATTTAATTAGATCCCTGTAACAAGATACTCGGAGTAGAAGCACCATATAAGAATGGACAGCCCTGATTCCCTCTATTCTTTAAGAAAGGACATTCTGGAAGATAGGAAATTAGTAAATTAGGAAACGTTGCTTTTGTGCACAGTAGCTGGAATGACAGAGAACAGGGTATTCTGTGATTTGATACACAGAACAAAGCATGTTGAAATAACTGTATCCCACAAAAAGGTCAGATTTGAAGAGGTCTTGCCAGTCAACTCCACGCAGTACTGAAGGATGAGGCTCAAGAGCCCGGGCACAGGACAAGCATCTCTCACCATACAGCCACCCACCAAAGTTGTTTGGGTAGTAAGAACAACGTGAACTGCTGAAAAATTTCAGACATTTGGGAAGACATTTGACCTTAAAAGCAGTGGAAGAAAAAAGTCCACAAAAAGCCACCACCCTGCATTATACAATCTGTATCAACTAGAAAGGATAAACTGTTTCCGGAATGTTTTCTTCACTCAAGCTTTCCTTTTAGTGTCAGGATGAGTGGATGCAGGACAAAAGGTAACAGCTTTAAGTCTAGAGTGGTAGGGAACTGAGACAAAGTGACTTTAACAGGGCAGGGAGCAAGTTGGTTGAATTCAAACTGAAATAACATTAATGCTCTAAAAGTGTAAACCCCTATCATGGGATATAGAGTAAAACTATGGAAATCTCAAAGTCTCCTTAAAACTTTCTTTACTTTCTCATTTAGAATAACT